AGTCTTTTCTTTCTTCTCTACTAAAACGGCTCTGCTTAGCTAACTGAGAAATACGAATTGTTCTATCGTTCTTTTGAGTACTTTCTCGAATTTCCAAAACTTAAAAAGTTTAGTTTCTCGAATTTCTTGCCGAAAACTTTCCTGCAAAAACCGAAATTCTTGTTCAGTGCTTTCTTTGCAGTTCAACGGTGTCTCCAAAAGAAACGTTTCGCCGTGTGAAAGGGATGAAATATGACGAAAATATTGATGAATTAGGTGTGAATGAACACACAAAGGGATGGATCTCCCTGGCTGTCTATCTCTACCTTCCTACTAAATCCAGTGTACTTTTTTAAAACTCCTTCCACGAATCTAGGAAGACCTACCAGTAACACATACCTATAGAATACTGAAGTAGCTGAGTATTCGGCCGTTAAGTCCTCAATGTGAACGTGAGCTCAACGTCGACTATGTGATGATGTCTTGTGACGCGAACTGCTCTCTGCGCAGCTGGTCTTGATCGTGTTTTTCCTGCCGTTGCCGCTTGTTCGTTGAAGTGGCTTGCTTGTTCACAGGTGATATGATGCTGACACTCGTTTTTTCCACAGCTTCAGCTATGAGGCTATTACATTTCAAGGTATCTTCTCGTAAGGTGTTTCCACAACTCTTGGGTATCCCCTTTCTGCTCAACGGTAGCGTAACACTCTAGAAGCTGGGTTAATTGTAAGTTTTTTCTTCGAATATGTAAAAGATAGAAATATTGGGACCTTGTTGTTCTGCTTGGTATTTCGTAGAAAATTAGGTGTTGTTCGAGCCCTGGAAATTTCCCACGTGCTAAATTCAGGACCTTTGATTGTTCCTTACAGTTTAGCTGCACAATTTAACTGTAGCAGTTCTTTGTTTATTTTTTTTAGCTTAAATCAGCTATTCAAATTTGTGGAGTCGGGACTTCGGATAAGGTTTTCTAACCAGTCCTGCCGTGATAGATCGAAGTTCAAGAACACTGGGCTCCGACATTTTGACCCCAGAAAGCCCCAGAAAGTCTCCAAAATCTCGCCTTCGTTTGCGGCTTCCTAACCCTACTCAGAAGTGGTCAGCCCATGG